CTGGCTTATTCCTCATGGACTGGCAGCTAATGATCTTTCATGACCTAGTCCTGGTCCCTTCCCCACCTAGTAGGGCTCCTATAGGTAGTTCATCCTGACCAGTCAGGGCTTTGATGAGAAACAGACAAATGTAGCTAAAAAAAAAAGAACAAAAAACAATGGGTCTGTATCAGAATGGGAGATTCAACCATGAGAATGAAGCCCACTTGGGGCTTGGGGCTTGGTCCATGCCTAACCATATTTTCAGCAGACAGGTTTGTTCTTACTGTGGACATGCTAAAGTGTGGACTCATGGATGCCAGATTTTCTATGGAAAATAACCCATTCAAAAGCCAGAACTCTAGACATTATTTGAAATTTATTACTACTTAAAAACCATAAAAATCAATAACAAAAGAACATTGATAAACTGGTTTTGCAAAACTGCTATAAAGAGGACCTGGAAATTTCACAGGAGCCTTTAATCCTCTCAGCATCTCTGTGAGGAGGAGCATGGCAAATAATACCTTTATTTTACAGATGAAGAAACAAACTGGCTTCCACATTTTTAGCAGAGGTTAAAAAAGAATAGGCGCTCTCCGCCTGAGAATTCATTTAAGCCAGGTGGGGTGCATTTTCAACAGGACGGACACATTTGTGTCTCTCACATCCCCTTCACACACTCCTCCATGCTGTGGAGCCACACCGTGGTCCCCATTCTGGACTGAGTTCATGGTCAGCTGCTCTTTAGGGAACATTAATAGGATGTTCGAGGCCTCTGCTGCCCATCCTTGCTGCTCCACACCCAGCATGCAGGGTGAGTTGGTGTCACAACTAGTCATGGCCTGACTGGTACCACAGAGGATTTTTGCCCTTTGTAGCCCCAGCTGTCCTGGAACTCACTATGTAGACCAGGCTGGACTTGAACTCACAGAGATCTGCCTGCCTCTGCCTCCCGAGTGCTGGGATTAAAGGCAAGCGCCACCATACCCTGCTTGCCCTTTGTTTTTATTTAGCTGCTCAATTATCTTTAGGTCCTTCTCCCAAACTTAGGGTAACATTCCTTTCATCTTTCTTTTGTTGTTTTCCTGGTCTTACCATTACCTTTCAATTTTCTCGAAACTACAGTTCAGAGCTGAGGATATGGCTCAGTCTGTACACTTCTTACAGCCAGGAGGACCTGAATTCCACCCCAAAAACTCATATTTAAAAAAAGAAAAGTCAGGTATGACAGGTTGCACTTGTAGTCACAGCAGGGGAGGGAGCTACTACATATTTTTAAGTATCTCACATTTTTTCTGTGTCCTGATAGCTTTTTTGTGTAACAATTATTAATGTAGTTGCTGTAAGCATCTACATCAGATGTTTGCAAACATAGGTTTTCAGCTCCTTCAAGTTAATAGAAAGGGCTTTTAGGGGTTTTTTGTTGTTGTTTGGTTGGTTTTTTTTTTTTTTTTTTTTTTTTTTTCGAGACAGGGTCTCCCTGTATCCCCAGTTGGCCTAGAACTTGCTGTGTAAACCAGGCTGGCCTTGATCTCACAGAGCTCTGCCTGCCTCTGCCTCCCAAGTGCTGGAACTAAAGGCCTGTGCCACTGGCTAAGCTGATATCAAGGCTCTTGATTGCCGTATCATGTTATGAGTACATTCAGTTTTGCAAAAAACTTTCAAAGCACGTGCAGTATCTCACCCTCCTGCAATGCACACGAGTTCCTGTTGTTCCACATCCCTGCCAGCATTTGGTGTTATCAGAGTTCTGGGCTTTAGCTGTTCAAATAGTGGGCTGGGCTGTTTCATTGTTGTTGTAACTGTCATTTTATGATATATCAGGTGGAGCATCTTTTCATGTTTGTCAGTTGTGTCTCTTCCTTGATATATCTGTTCAGGTACTTGGATGTTTTCGTTAATAACCCTTTATCACATATATGTTTTGCAAGTATTTTTCCTAGTTTTTGGCTTTACCTTCTTTTCCCCCCTTTACATTATCTTTCACGGAGCAGAAAAATGTAAATTTAATGAAATCCAGTTTTTCAATCTTATCTCTCATTATTATAAATTATTATTTTATATCAGGTTAAGGAGGTATTAAAATTGTTCTAGCTACAAGCAGTAATAAATTCAACTAATTCCTCTTTAAGAACCCGTGCTGTTATAAGAATCTCATTTTATGTATATACTCTTACACTTTTATGATTTTTCCATCCATGCCTAAAAAGTATTCAGATACAACATACAAGGATCCATAATGAATAAAATGAGCAAAGATCCTGTGTACATAGGACACATGTAGTCTGGCAGGAAACAGTATTGATATTAACACAGGTGAAACAGATTTTGTAAACAGAGAAACACCAAGTGTACAAAGAGTACAGCAGAGGGGCCCAAAGTATCAGAGGGCTTGAAAGACCTCCTTCAGCCTCTAAAAATCATCATAAAATTCCCACGACAAAAACTGTCACGACTAATGTTGTTATTAGTAGAAAAGCTCATCTTTGAAGCTTAAAGTCTTCAATGGCTGAAATCTCTTGACCAAAACAGAAAATGATAAAAAGTCCCGTATCTTTTTTACTCATGCCTATGAAGTTTAGCTGTAGCAATAGGAGGAATTAATGAAAAGCAGACACCAGCATGCTGACATACAAGTCAGCAGGTAGCAGATTGGACAGCTCCAGTGTTGGTCAAGATCAGAAGATACTCAGAAGCATCAGGAGAACCAGAAATACCCATCCTGAGCAGCTGTCAGAATCTAGAGATTCTGAGCTGGCTGGACGCCCTCTGGAAACATCCTTGCCTTATAATCCCTTGGCATCCTCCTGATTACCCATGGGCACTTGCCAGTGATGACAAAAATAAAATGGAAGTACTAGAACAGTGTCAGGGATAGAAGAGGAGGTCCTGTTGGATTCCTACCCAGAAATTACTATTGAACAGACTTCTGCTCTACTCAAATCTTCCTTCCAAAGGTGCTTTGATACTCCTGGCTGCCTGGCAAACTTGCTCCCACTTTGGATACCTCACTGTCACATGAAATTTGCCTTGACACCTGGAACTGAGTTCCAAGATAAACATTTACAGGTTACAAAACATTCCAGTATCTTTTTCTGCAGTATAACATTTCAAAATGTCAGGGCTTTTGTAGCCAGACTCAGGCCTGAAAATTGAAGTTCACACATGCTAAGAAAATGGTAGCTAGTTTAGGAATTTCAGACCTACTAGAAATATCAGAGCTGTTTGGGCGTAATTCAAATCCTAGTAATAAATTGGGCTTGTTTTTTAACATTTCATGAGAGGTTCTCCGGAAGTCTATGGAAAATAAGCTCTCAAGGAACCTCACCATGCCTTGAGGAAGGAAAAAGAAGCTTTGATTTCCTTCCTGGTCATAAATATTGACATATACAGAAAAAACAGCAGGCCATTGCTTCATCAAGGCTGCTAGCTTTGTAGTGGGTGGGGAAGAGTTTGACTCACTGGCCAGCATGAAGCCTCCCAGGATCTGATGGTAAAAAAAGTCCTTGGTCTAAGAACGGGACTAAAGAAGGGACTGAGGCAGAAGTCTGGTTGGGAATAGATTATTCAAACTTCAGTTTTAATTGATTTACTACGTGTTCTTGGACAGCAGGCAAAGACTAAAGACAGGAAAGCCAGGGAAGCTGGAGTGGGACCACATGAGAACCTGGGCGTGCTGTGAGGATGCTGTAGCATGGATATGGAGAGAAGTAAGAAGAGCTGGATCAGCTTAGTGAGAAAGGAAGGCAATGTCAAGGATGACACTTAGTGTGTTGCAGAGAAAGGGATGATACTGAGGGGCCAAAGAGGTAGCATAAGGGACTCCAAGGACATGATTCCACAAACGTCCCAGGTGGCAGCTGAATATTGTCCAAGAAAGCTGCAATCATTTTAAGCAAGTAACTACATCCTGCATACTACATGGATGGAATCTGTCAACCATACCACCATGATTTAACCATGTGATTAAATCAACTAAAAAAGGTAGACATCATCTTTTTCTTTTCAGAATCCTGGTTGGGTACCAGATGCCAACATTAAGAAGGTCAAGGGAGGAGGATCAGCAGGGAGGCCAAATTAGGCTACAAAGCAGCATTCTGTCTTTAAAAGAAAGACTCTTGATTAGGTGCCACCATGCAGCTGATGTTTTCCCTCCTTCTCCCTCCACTTTCTTCTTCTGTGATGAGAATTAAACCCAGGGCTTTGGATATGCTATGAAATGCGCTTTCTTACTCCCATATCAAAAAAGACAGCCTTGCTAGGCAGGTTTGATTGTTGTTCTGGGTTTCAGAGAAGTAAACTGAGGTCCCAAGAACACATAAATTGAGAAACATCCATGGTCATCACTGCAGAGCCTAGAGCTAATGAAGGCTTCTGTGATTCCAAAGCCTATACTTAACCACTTTGTGCTTCTTCACATAGTGTCTGAACATGAAATGTCTATGAATTTGGCTGAAATAAATCATTTATCATTGTGGAGGAAGAGAAATTTTACACACTGTATTTGTATACCAGTCAGAAATTTTACAAATATGTGTTATTGATCACTATGGGTCTGCCTGATGTTCTATTCCCCCCAGATTGGCACAATATTATATATTGTTAGTTAATAAAATAACTCACATCACTTCTCACTGATTGGTGTGTTTGTGGTACAATAGTTATGAAGGACAATGCACACACATTAGCATGAAAAAAGTAGTGATATGCCTCACAGAGAGAACAGGGGTGTTTTTCCCCCTTAAATGAAATGTTATTATAAATTTTGAAGTATATGACATGGAAGGAAATGCAGTGAGGAATTGCTCTTAAAGCTCCTGAGTACACAGGCAGCCCAGCCTCGTTCTGTCTAGGGGACTTGCTCAGGAGAAGGTAAACTCCGAGGTGACTGCATCCATGTACAATGCAATGCAGACACTGAAGTAGGAGATGAAGGAAACATGACAGTAAGACCTTGTTGCGGAAGACACTATATACCTGAGTCATAGAACAAACAGAGAAATCAAGCTGGTACTGACCTCAAAGCTTCATCTCTACTGCCAAGTTTTCATAGTGCTGGAAGGTTCTATACATGCTGTTGAAAGGAAAAGTAACCATCAATCTCACCCAGCGGCATACCCCGTGTGCTACAATGACTGGCCTGGCAAGATACGCCCACTGGTGCACTAGTGGAATGACTGCTGTGGGAGTGACCAATCAGTTTCTCCTGGAATTTAAGGCTTGCTTTACAAGATGGAGCCCATACCTAGCACTGTTATCAGGGCAAAAATCTTGTAGCTAGACAGGTCACATAAGGAAGGATCTACTAATATTATCCTGTTAAATGGATATAGTATCAAAACAACTGATGACTTTTTGTTATACCCATAGATTAGTTCATTTCTCAATTCTGACCAGAGAAGTTTTGGTATTTTGTTTTTCTGGGTTTTTTGTTTGGTTTGGTTTCTTGTTTTCTGTTTTTTTGTTTTGCAGCAGATGGTGATTACCACAGCAATCCACAATTGGTCAATGTGCAGAGAACACAAGACTGCGGAGTGCTCTGAATGAGACACTTATATCACACCCTCTCCTCCCAGGGCTCAGGGATCATTGAGAAAGAGGGGGAAGAAAAACTCTAACAGTAAGAAGTAGATGAATAAAAGGAAACTGTGTTTTCCAGGCACAACAGGCAGTTGCACATATGAACCCACAGCGCTTGTGACAGTATGTACAAGACCTGCTGCACAAGCCATGCCAGAAAAAAACCCAGCAAGCAGGGGGCAGGGGGTGACAGAGATAGGAAGCTCCAGCCCTAGCTGAGGAACTATGGGCAATTGATAGCTGCTTAGAGAGGGAGAGTCAGTTTTCTTTAAGAGTGTGATAACGGGCAGGTCAACCAGGCTCCATGGGATGGACCCATATTCAAGAGCATTTGGGGAACAAAAATTAGACTCAATAGGCCTTTAAAAAATAATAGAGGAGATGAAGGGATTTAATAAGGTGGCAGTGGTCATGGGAGAGAGGTCTGAATAGGATAGAAATATATCATATGAAAAGAATCAATGAAAATATTTTTCTGAAAAAGAAACCAGTTCTTGAGACAGCAATATTAGATGCTGAGAATGGGTTGAAAGCAGAAGCCAGGTGACTGTTTCTGCAACTTTGCTATTAGCACCCATTTTAAAACTCATGAGCAGAGGCACAAAGAGGTGACAGTAGGCCCATGCTTAAATAATGTATTCTTTCATTTATTTATAGAATTATGATTCTTTGTGAGAGGCAGGAGGACCTGGAAAGAAATGGGTTACGGGGCCCACTGAAGGGAAGTCCATGGCTTTCGGGTGAATAGTAAGACTTCAATAACAAGAGCCTTGATTTTCAATTTCATATTACCAAAGTGTAGATTCACTGAAATTAGCAGAGCAGGAGGTAGTAGAAAGCATGCCATGTGGTGAGAACACAAGCAACTTTGCTGCGTGATCGCAAAGGAAATTACCCAAGCAATTAATGAGGCACCTAAATCTATGTCCATTTCCAAACGTTTTAATTAAACCTTCTACTTGTTGGATCTGAGTGCTACATTTTTAATTGAAAGAGGACCCTGTACTGCTCATCTCATTCCCGCTTACTGGGTGGATTTCTCTCCTACACAGTGGCATATTGGGGAGGAAGGGGGTGCTGACAGTGTTAAGTGTCCCATCTGGTGGAGCCATTATAGCACGTTACATTCCCAGACAGAAATAAGCCTCACTGAAGCAGGGACTGCAGAGGCTGCTGCCTATCTGGTTTTGCCTGTTCTGTACAATAGGATCTTGGCTGTGATAATCAGTGAAAGTCTACTGATTTAGATATTTGCATATGATAACATTTAAAAATAGATCCTCAACTCTGTAATGAGAATTATAGCCATTTCTCAATTTTCTCAAGATCTACGTAGATACATAAAGCTACATGTAAGTTAAATTTATATAAATTAAAGCCTATAAAGATAAAGGAGTAAGATGAGGGAGAAATCAATGCCTTTCAAAAATAATTTCAGAAATTTTACTCTTTGAATGCATCTATTTCCTTGGGATTTTTTTTTTTTAACTCTTAAGTGAAATTAAGCAAGGAAAGCATCAATTCACATGATTGGGAGGATCTTGGATGAAAGAAGCAGACAAAAATCTCAGCCCCATGTAGAATGAAGATGTCAACCACCCTAAAAAACACTAAGCATTTCTTGACCTGGGCCCCACTTTGAGAGGGAGCCAAGGACAAGATGTGATGGTGAAGCCATTACAGAAGAGAAAGCTCCGGGCCTCCAGGTACCATACAGACTTCTTCACCAGGAACTTCTAATAACGGAAAGAACAACATTCAAATCCTTTCTGTGGAAATTTCTCTGCCTCTAATTGACATTGCACATGATTTGTTTCTTCTTTAAATAAACTATTTTTGAAGCTTAATTTTCCATAAAATATTTTCTATCAAAAAAGTATGTTGGCAACAAATATATTTTTAAGTGTGCTTTTTAACCTGCTTTTTTTCCAGAATTGTTTCACACGAGCCAAGAGGTGTGCGGTGGGAGACTGTGAGCTCTAATAAAGAGGCAGTGATTTCTGCTCTCGTCCTCCGGCTCTTTTGTCCTGGGGCACTGGTGCTAAAATTGGGATTTGAGGGGAATTTTTATCTGCTCTAGATCTTGTATGTCCTCCATTATTCATGACTAGCAGGGGTGCTCGGAGGTCCACTTCTTGCATCAGAAGCTTGTGACTTCATCTCTTGCTTAAAGATGACTCTCAATGGCCTTGTGTGAGAGGCCTTTTTGACCTCTTGCTGTTTTGAGTAAGAACTGTCTCACTGAAGCTCATATTGAAATGAATTCCCATCAAGGGATAGTAAGAGGCGGAGCATTCTCCACACCAGCTATGTGACACCCTGAGCTGCCTCTGGACTCTGCCGGCAAGAAGCCTGGAACCATATGCAGCCTCTTGACCTTGGAAGAAAATAAACTTCTTTTCTTCCTAATTTACCCAGTCTGTAGTACTGTGCTATTAGCAACATGAAAAGGACTAAGACATTTCATTACTGTCCTTAGCTTTGGCTGTGCCACAGATTCCACCATGAGAGATTTGGGACGACTCTTTCTCTAGGCTTACAGTTTTCTTAAAATCATGGGAAAAGGTTATAGCATGCCCCAGAGCTGCAGCGGTTACCACTTGGAGTCATCAATTATTGGACTGAAACGTGGCAACCAGACACATTTTCTGTAGCAATAAACAGCATTTCCATTTCCAGGCTGCACCAGAGAGAGGCTCAGGCACAACTGTTTCATTCCGTGTTCATATTGTATATTGCGTCACACTAACGCCTCCTAGTTTCATCCAAAGATAGCACAAATGACAGGAACACTAAGGCTTGCCTGCTCCTGTGACTTCCCCAAGAAAGGATCACTTCCATTTGAGAGGAAAATGAGGCTGGTCTCCAGCCCTTTGAATGGCTTGCCTGGCATGGTCACTTCACTCGTGAGCTGTCAACTCCACCAAAAATCACTCCTTGATGTGATTTATAATTCTGCTATAAAAAGCGTCCCCTGAAGCTAAAACTTGCACATCTTTCAAGTTTAATGACAAACACAGAAGCAAAGTAGAGGGTGTACTCCTGAGCACAAGCACAGAAACACACACACGTACCCAAAACCCCCACCCCATTCTCTTAGGAAAAGGGGAAAATGATGCTTTTTTTCAGGTTTGGAGATCATTTAGAGCAGGTGGAGACAGTGAACCACATGACTTCCAGAAGCTCCCTTAGCATTTGCTTGGATGGCGGGCACCTGCATTTGAGTCCCACTTGCCCTTCACCAGTCTTCTGAATTCTCTGCTGCTGTTTTCAGTCTTCCATACCTAATCTTTTTATAGCAATGGTGTGGTGACCTGCTAGGCTTGGTGGCTTGTGCCTATAATCCTAGTACTTGGAATGCTGAGGCAGGAGGATCACCATGAATTTCAGATTTGCCTATCTCAAAAAATCCAAATAAGAAAATAACTAAAGTTGTAACTAATCTTAAATTCATTACCCTTTCTCCCCAAAATCAAGTCCTTAATCCTGCTAAAAATGTCTAGACTGCTGCTTCTTGGATTAGCCCGCTTTCTGTGCTTTTCCATGTAAATAAGCCACCATCAATGGATGGAAAGGCACTTCTCTGGCACTATTGTCCTGTGCAGGCTAGTCTACTAGCCTGCAGGACCACTCTAATCTTAGCACTGTGGTACTTAAGGAGTTATAGAGAAAATGTATCCATTATACTAGAGGGACTTAAGCCCCCTGGACTTTCCAGAGACAGGATTTTGGCCTTCAAATTAGTTTCTGAGTTGCTGAGCTACAAAGAGAACTTGTATTCCTCAGAGGAGCCAGGGATGAGTTAAAGCCTTCAGTAAACTGAGAGAGACTTAGCCCACTTTTCCAAGGGAATTCTGCAACCCTTAAATGGCAAATTCATAGGGAAGGGGCCTTGGAGAATGTGGATGAACAACACGCTGATGAACTTAACATTCTTGTAGGGTGACACAAATCAGGGGACAGTGAGCCCCACACTGTTAAGAGGTACTTTACTTCCTGTGAATGAAGGAACTGGGAAATTAAATGAACTCAGATCAGGTGCCTGGTATTGCCAAGCAGGAAACAGTGAGACCTGTTTTATATTGACGTATAAGAGTTCTACATCGGTTCAATTTTACTTTATTTGCTAATTTATTTCGTACTGTACTATCGATTTCTCGAAAGAATTTAACTGACTCATCATCTTTTGTTGCTAAGGACTGATGTGCAAGGGTTTGCATTATGAAACAGTACACTTTACCCTCCCCTCGTATTTTCATCAAAGGCCTGCACTGCATTACACCTTATCTGATAGTTGTATCTTGTAACACCATGTTTATGCAAGTTTTGCCTCTAAGTTGGTGGGGGAAATGAGTTAATCCTGCTCTCTATTATTTTATGGTTCCACTCAGATGGAGGTAAAGGAACACATTACAAAGCTAATGAATTTCAAAGACTATTATCAGAAGGTTTTATTAAATCCCAGGAGTTGGTTAGATCTTTTACCCAGGACCC